TCGTTCCTCCGTTGTGGATGGATCACCTCCAATTAGCGTCCCTTTATGGAATTTGATATGCATCATAGGTGCTTGGTTGTCTTAATGACGTTTATTGATATGGGTATCTTAAAAGAAATCTATTTGTTTGTTTTTACAATGACTGTAATTTCTTTGTTTTTAGGGTTCATTTTGAGAGTATTTACAAAAATCATTGATTCAAGAGATTGATGCTGTTTGGAGTGTCATTATATTTTTTTTTGGTTTGGTAGGCTGATGGTTCTAAGTACTAAACTATGGTTTGTGATGAATGGCTATAGTGGATATTAATAATCAGCTGCTGGAACTTTTTAGTACATATATTAGCAAAACACCATTCTAGGCTTTCTTTCAATTTCAAATTTCAGAAATGTTACCTTCAGTCTGGATTGGTAAAAAATGATTCTAATCCAAGCTGAAAATGACTAAAATGTCATTAATGAATCATGCACGCATGGATTCATTAATGACATTTTGGTTATTTCCAGCCCCGATTAGCATTTTTTAGCCCATCTGGACCAAAAGGCTGCAATCTCTTCAACTTAATGTGTTTCTAGTGAAGTTTTCCCTTCTTTAGCTTGCCAGAAGTGGAAGCCTTGACTCTAGCTCATATATATGTACTAAATTTCATGTTGAGAACCCGTATTCTACAAAACTTAGTATGTTTCTAGTAAAAAGGAAAAAAAAAAATACAGTTTTCCTAATGTGAATCTTAACAAGGGAAAAGATTGTTCAGAACTTCAAATTCTTTGGCAAATATACAAATTCCATCAAATTTCTTCAACTTCATTTGTTCTTAAGAAAACAAAAGATTTCATTTCTGCATTTTATGCCTTTCAACCTTTGTTTCTAAAAGTTATTCTTTTCACATGGGGTTGACAAGACATCCTTGTATCCAAAAATATGAATTTTCTGTATTAATTGTTGAAATTGGTTCTAATGTTTTCCTTGTATCTTCTTTCTCTCTAGAATCTGACACTGAACATCTGCTAATATTATTCTTCTAATGCTTTTAACAAGCAGGAAGTTCATGATTACTTTAAAAGTCTTTGTCCTGATTTGCATGTTACTCGAGGTGAATATGATGAAGATTCTCGTTATCCTGAGAACAAGACTTTGACAATTGGACAATTCAAGCTTGGAATATGTCATGGCCACCAGGTTTCATCTTCCTCTTCTATATGAATTCACGTCTTTTGCTTGATCTTTCTGAATTCCTCAATGTAAAGAGACATTTGTCTAGCCATACATATTCAATTTATTGGTATAGTTTTTGATCTGGTTTATGATGAGTATGAATTTATAGAAATGTAGAATTACCATCCCCAGATTTTTACATTATGGGACTTGAAATGCCTTACTAGCTACAGTTTTCAATTATACATGAATAGAAACAGTAAATCTCTATTGAGTGCTTTTTTTTGGTCCGAGAGTGATACTGCAGAGACTAACTTTTGAGTAGAAGATTAGCACCTTTGCAGAGACCAAGATTCTAACTTTAACAGATAGAAAGAGAGGAGACTTACTTCCCAAATTCCAACTGCCAGTTCTTGAGTGCCTTTTTTCATTTTAAAATCAGCCAGTCGTCACTGCTTGTCTAATCATCATATTTGAAGGTCTAAAGTATTCAGTTCTTTTTGTGGTGGAAAACTGGAAATAGAAGGAAATTATATGAAGGGCTTTTTGTTGTTCCCATAATTTTGGGATTGCTGCTGGTGTCCTTTTGTTTCTAGTGGATGCAAGAATCCAAATTAGGATTGAGAGCCTAATTATTGCTGACATTGGTTTGCTGGTACTGGTATTGATCTTTTATACAAGGATGTTTTACACATATTCCATTTACATTTTTGACTCTATCTATATCGGTACAGATAGGAAGGTTTTTGGGAAATTCAAGATTTGGAAACTGTCCACCAGTTATACAGGCCTTTTCAGTATCAGATGGGATTTCCATCCCATCATTCCTTGCAGCAGCCCCCAGTAGGTTTTAAGCTCTCCATCTGGAGAATCTTATGAACTGAATTTCATTTGACTCTCAGCCAACTTTCACTTGATTATTTAGAAGTTTCTAGTCACTAAAGTGTGTGGCCAGCCTAACCAATTGTGGATTGATGTGTTATCGTTAGAGATCTAGTCCAAGGTGCTTAGTTCTTTCTTGAATTTTGTGGCTTTCACTTTAGCGTCAGTCACTAATCTTGGTTCTGCATTTAACTTTATAAAGGTTATTCCATGGGGAGATTTGGATTCACTGGCAATGCTACAAAGGCAACTGGATGTGGATATCCTTGTAACAGGTCACACACATCAGTTCAAAGCATACAAGCATGAGGGTGGCGTCGTCATAAATCCTGGTTCTGCTACTGGCGCCTATAGTAGTTTCACATATGATGTTAACCCAAGCTTTGTGCTCATGGACATTGATGGTCTACGAGTTGTTGTTTATGTCTATGAACTAATTGATGGAGAAGTCAAGGTCGACAAAATTGATTTTAAGAAGACAGCAACTACTCGCTCAGCTCATTGACTCAACTCAAGCATGTGACGATACTAAAGGACCTTGCCTTGCCTTTGGTTTATTGAACTAAAATAATAGATAATAGCTTTTATTCAATCAGTTGATGCTGTTCCATGGGGAAGTTCTTTCATCATGTATGACTGGTTGATCTTTCTGTTTCATGCCAAAAAGAATATAGTTTGAAGTGAAGTGTTTAATGCCAAGAAGAATATAGTTTGAAATGAAGAATATTTTGAAAACTGAAATCGGAAATTTGTTAGTTAGGTTTCACATCTATTTGTTTTACCATGTCTTATTCCTTTTATTTTAGCAAGGCCCACTTTTTTTTTTTTTTTCTATTAAACGTAATTGCACAAATTTATATTAATTTATTTGCAAGTATTCATTTTTGGTGGTAAATATGAAATTGTACACAGTATTATCTGGTACAGGGTACATATCATACTAAAAGCAAAATCAATACAGATGCCCGTTATGATATTGACAACTTTACACCACCCTTCTTACCACCTGGTCATATGTTAGGGCTTGAACCGACGGTACATCACAGAAGCCAGTTGAGGACCACGAGGCTAGCCATGATCACTAAATTATTGCTAACTAGGATAAAGAAGAACATTTTTTTCTTGTAGCTGAAATTGTGTGAATGCAAGGGAGTATGGGGTTTCATTATTATGCAAAACTTGAAAATTAAGACAAAAGTAAGTTAGAACTAAAGTTTCACTCAAATTCAATGCCCTCTTTTCTTATTTTCTTTCCTCAATGTGCTATGTTTTGATCGGTCCGAAGACAAGCATAAAACCTACTAACATGGCTTCCTCAGTACACTGTATATGAGTTGATGAACCAGAGGTAAGAATATATGCTGAAAGAAAGATGCTAACTTTTACCAATTGAAAGAGGAAGATATTAATACCCTAATCAAGAAGGCAGATTACCGCAATACGATAACGCTTTCAGCAAATACCAGTGGTGATAATCTGTTATACAATGGAAAATTGCACAAGGATACACGCCCAAAATTATATTTTATGTTTAACAAAATGATATGGATGTATTTAACAAATTTACAGATGAAATCTTTCTCTTTCAGCGTACTCGTGGTGATTGCCTGTGAGATGGTGGCAATGGTGATGCACTTGGTGGGATGTTCAGAGGAGAACGAGGGGGTCTCATTGGAGACTTCCTAACAGATTGCTGAACGCTCTCCTTTTCTGTTGGGGAGTGTCTAGATGCATTTTTAGGGGCTTCAAGCTGTTCTAGTATTCCTAAAACATCTGACATACGAGGCCTCAGTTTAGGCTCGGTGCTTAGGCACCGTACAGCCAGAATAGCAGCTGTATTGGCACCTTTCTGGGGGTACTGACCCCCCAATTTGGTGTCCATAATTCGGAATAATTTCCTTTTGTCACCCAGATACGGTTTTGCCCAATCTACCAGGTTCTGCTCCACACCAGATTTTGTTTTATCAACAGCTCGCCGTCCAGACAGTAGTTCTAGCAACACAACTCCAAAGCTATATACATCACTTTTTGCTGTCAACCTACCTGTTGAGCAATGGAAACTTCATCACAAGTGCAACTTTGATGCCCGTTATACATTAAGCATGCTCCATTTCATGAAAAATTAACTTAACGCAGTGAACATGTCATCTATGAGTACAGTTACAAAGTTAAGTCCTTGTATCTTTGTTTTTTGTTTCTTAGGACAAGTGCTTCGCATACAGAATGTAGAAGCAATTAACTACTGGTTTTAAACTAATGGAATCACAAATCAAAAAACAACTTTGTAGATATTTATTGCATATTTTTCCTGTTAGTTTGATAAATAGCAGAGAAGCAAAAAATTAAAAATTCAAAGATAAAAGTAATCACAAGTGTAGTTAACACATAAATTTTTGCGTTATACCAGAATAGGATTTGCAGTCAAGGATTTCAAGGTTTTTTGTAGTTGAAAAGGAACAAAACATATAAAATAACTTCTCAAATTTATGATATGATTAAATTTGTTCAGCAATAAATATCATATTATTAGTTTTGTTCGGCAACAAATATCAACATATGATAATTGAGAATTTACGAAATCTATTCAACTGCAAAGAAAGAACTGAAATGGGTAATCTGACAGACCTGTAGCAACATATTCAGGTGCTGCATAGCCATGAGTACCCATGACCTGAGTTGACACATGAGTCCTATCACCAGTGGGCCCTGCCTTAGCCAATCCAAAATCAGAAAGTTTCGCATTGAATTCCTGCATTGGAGTACAAAAATACGAAAAAAGAAAATCATAACGTGTGATTTAGACATATTAGCAATCCAGCAAAATTTCATTTCCTACATTCCACATACCCCATCTAGAAGAATATTGGAGGCTTTGAAATCTCGATATATGACTTGAGATTTTTCATCATGAAGGAACGAAAGCCCCCTTGCAGCAGCTACGGCCACCTTCATCCTTATCGCCCAAGAAAGTGGTTGTGGCCCTTCTGTTAAAGAAGATACAGTATAAGAAATTACACTTTTTCTTTTTTTGGTATAAGAAATTACTGATAACCCAAGTATATATATCTATATCAACGTGCTGTATCTTTTGGCTTGTCTAAGATAAACCAGTATACAGGGGAGTTTTGGCTTTATTGGTTTGGAATATTTACTTGTTATGAAAACCTCTTACAAAGATAATGATGTATATGAAAGAAAACAATCAAGTCAAAAAATTGTCAAAGGAATCAGAAATAAACAATCAAATTCATTTTTAGTCATCTAGGAAGTTCCAGGATCTGCAATGTGAATCAGTGTCATAACAACTAAAATCAATTCATTTCTCCATTCATGCTTCATGCTTCACGCTAGCAACCTAACAAAGTCTACAAAGAGGGCACAAACTGTGACCCAATGGCTTGCCAAAAAGAATATCTCCATTTTTTGTTGACATTATTGTTCTCTCATAATCATCCAGGAAGTCACTGGTATGAAGATTTTGAAGTAACTTGTGAAAACACAAGGATGATGTCCTAACAAATTAAGCAATTTTTACCAGGCAAAGAAAAACCTCTCTTTAGCCATTCAAAAACTCAAATATTTTACAGGAAATAAAAATATCAAAACAAAGGCCAGATTCTAATGACATAATACTTACTTCTAAATAGATGATTCTCTAAGCTCCCTTTTGGCATGAACTCATAGACCAAAAGTCGGTTCTCACCCTCCAAGCAATAGCCAATCAGCTTAACAAGATTTGGGTGATGAAGTTGGCCAAGGTAATTAACTTCTGTCTGAAAACAACAGCTATGAGTAAGTTCAGCAAGCACAAAATTGAGGAGCACTTAGGGAAAATAAAAGGAAAATGAAAAAAGAAAAAGGGCAAAAAGATTTCAAAGAAAAATGAAACTCACCAACCACTCTTTGTGGCCCTGAAAACCTTCAGGTTTAAGCTTCTTAACAGCAACAACCATTCCTGATCCAGGCCTAGCAGCTGCAAAAGTTTGTCCATCAATCCATCCTTTGAAGACATAGCCAAATCCACCTTCACCAAGAAGACTGTCAGGACGAAAGTTTCTGGTGGCATTCTTTAACTCGTTGAAGGAGAACGCTTTTAAATTCGGGGATGATAATATTTCTCCTTCAGATCTTGGTGTAGGAAGACACTCAGAATTACTTTTCTCACTGTATGGGATTGTTAGGCTTGAAGGAGCTGAAGATCGGCTGGTTTTGCTTGAAATTCTTGAGGCCCCTGATGCTGACAAGAAAATAGATGAGCCTGAGATTACTGATTTTAAGTTGCCAAGTTAAAAATAGCATATTCTGTCTAGCAACAGGAGATGTTCAAACTTTAGCAACCAAGTACGATCTTTCCTTGAGACCGTAGTCCGACTCAAACTCAATATTACATTTATTGTAATATATAATGAGTGTAAGTTTTTCAACACTTCATATTTCTTTCCAGAATTTCCTGAGGAAGCTTCTGTGATTCATAACTTCTTATTGATGATATAAAAACAACACTGTTCAAATAAAAATTAGTAATCCCTATTCTGTGGTATTTTCATAATCATTGAGAACTGATTCCTGGATGCAGAGAGCTTATCTCTTGTGCATTTCATTTTACATTTTCTTGAAATTATATCTCTAAAGTTTTGCTTAATAATAGAGGAATCCTATGTCTATCCCAAAGATTTAACTCATTCAGAGAACAATGAATTCATGCACTTGCTGCAGGAACTTAAGTAAATAGGAACTCTCTCCTCAAATACTAAGCCCCAAAATTTTCAGTTGAAATTAAAATTGCATAATAAAACAAGGGTCTTTCTAACTTGTGCCCCTAAGGATGCATTTAGTGCACCTTTTTACCATTAATTTGAAAAGAAACTTACAAAAGTAAACTTTATTTTCAACACCAATGTTGACAGTTGCTAAAACTTAAGTAAACTTCTATTTTTTCCATGCAAATTAATGATAAAAAGGTACAATAATTGCACTGTTAACCTGTGCCCTAACGGCACAGGATAGAAAATTTCATAAAACAATAGCAGCATTAAAGAATAAACATTTTAATCCATGAAACTTGAAGGAAAATATCAGCATCCAAGTGCCACACATCAAACAATATAAATGACAGACATATCCCAACATAACCCCAAAATCAAGCTCTAGGAAACGGACATAAGTTTCAGACAACACAACTTAAACTCTATGTTGATGAATTGAACCAGAGGCTAGGAAATCTCCATTGCCATCCAAGCAAGACAGACTTCAGCCTTTTTTGAGCAATCGATGACAAGCTGATTACAATGAAGTTAACTGGAAAAGAAGATGCAACCAGTCATATTTCCATGGCAACTGCCAATTTCACCTGCAAGTCTGGAACCAATTTTGGCCTCCAAAAAAGGTATCCACTAAACCAATCAAGGACATCTAACTCTCTTTACACGTTAACATGAATAAGAATGGTCCAGAAAAGATGAAGGACATTTGAATCTTAACCCTCTCCTCCAAACTCTATACCCTACACCTCTTAAGAAAAAAAAAGTAGGGGTGCTTCACTTTCGCTGCTAGGACATTGTAACCAAAGTAACATAAACACTGAAAAAACTTCATAGAATATATTGATTAAAACATTTTGATACCTATATAGAAAGCAGGGAAAAGATTAAGAGAATCTTATTTATGTTATCGCTGATATCAGAATTAAAAACAGAAAGTTGGTATGCCCTCCATCCCCGCAAAACACATAAAAATCTAGCAAGACCAGCATAAGATTTGAAGCTGCAAAAGCATACAGCCTCTATGAAGCATTAAACAACCTTCCAAAATTCAATAGGACCTAATGAAGCAACAACAACATATACCCGAAAAAAAAGACAGAAACACCAAAAAAACATAATTAAAAATCACTAAAGATCAAAGAAGTTAAACTATGATTCCAAAAAAGCTAAATAAACAACTAAATAGGAAACAATCAGATTAAAGCTTGCAATGTTATTACCAGAAGTGACATGGGTGCTCTGGCTGGTATCTACTCTAGCAGAAGAAGCTAAGCAGTTGCCCATCAGAAACCCAACAAAGATTCTCTGTCTGAAACTCAAAACCCTGATTCCTTTCCTAAAATAAGATACCAAACTAACAACCCATGATTAGCTCTCAAAAACCCAATAGAAAAGACAACAACTCTCTGATCCGAGGTTGGAGGGTCAAGTGGTAGAATGTTGTGGGTAAGTAAATTAAAGATCTTTCTAGCGGAAAATAAGGAATGGAGAGAGAAATGGGGAGATTTTGTCCAGGTCAAGAAGTGAAGAGAGGGAGGAAGAGGGAAGAGAAGAAGCAGAATAGAAGAAAGGGCTAAGAAGAGGAGAAACAAGCTTTCTGAGTTCTGTATTCGTGTGAACGCGACAATCGCGTGCCGGACTTTTGGCTCACCACTTCCGTGTCCACTCGCTCATATTAGTATGACATATTTATTCGAATTTTTTCGGTACGCATGACATCATTATTCTTTTTTCTTTCATTTTCATATTTTAACTAAATGGAAATTTTTTTTTTTTAGAGCACCGAGATTAAAAAGTGTATTAATTAATTTTTTTTATAATTAATTTATGTAAAAAAATAAAAATTAATTTTAAATTTATTTACTATTTAATTAAAATTATCTACTTGTTACTAATGTTCCTAAAATTAATATCTAATTTTATATTTTTTATAAAAGTTTGTTTTTAAAATAGTATAAAAAATTAATGCACCTTTAATTTATATTTAAAGACATATGATATAAAAACCTCATTTAATTTATGACCACATGACCTGAAAAAACTTAGAAGAGTGCCAATAACACTTTCTTTAATCATCTTTTTAAATACTTTTTTATGTGATTAGCACATGTAGAATATATATTTAATATGATTAATGATTAGTACTTGATATTAAAATTAATGTTTTTAAAATTTAAAATTATAACTAATCGTAATAAATTAATATCACACATAACTCAATCACATGTAGGATGTCCAATGGAAAGTGCAGAAAAGAATATTGTTAACATTCCTCAAAAACTTAATTACATGAAAATCATGTTATAAATATAGATTTCTTTAATTCATTTGATATTTATCAAAATTAGACTTTATTTAATTTATTATTAGAAACAGTTGATATAAGTTTGAAATTAACTTTACGTTACTATTATATTTAAATAACCTCATTGGCTATTTAAAAAAAAGTTATAAAATGAAAGAATTAACCAAATTATAAACTAATAATATTAACCAAACTTTTAAAAAAATATATCAACTAAACTAAATATAATATATTTTAAAATAATTAAATATGTATTAATATTAGCTACTTAGTGTTCTAAAAGTAAAATTTTTAATTCATGAGAATAGGCACTGTTTTCTAATCGTCAGTTGCTTTAAAATTGAAGGAACTCTAGACAATGATCGATTATTTTATGATAAGTATTTTGACTTATGGTTTTTATTTTTTTGTCCTAATGTGGTTCTTTTATCCCTTAAAACAAGCATAATCATCAAGTGTCTAAAGTCAAACTGAAATGATAGCTTTATAAATCTTTTATTTTACTTTCTTCAAGAGCTTTATATATATATATATATATATATACTTTTTTTCAACATTAAAATATCTCATTCTTTTCCTGTTTTCTTTTCTTCTTTGACCATCTTTATATTTCTTTTTTTAGATGAAAAAGGAAAAATAATTAAAATACACTTAATTTGATATAATTTTTTTATATTTATCTAGTTAAATTATTAAAAATATAATATAATTATAATTAATTCAATCAATTTTTATATATTATGTATATAGTTACATCTTTAAATTTATCTATTTTTAATTTCATATCAAAAAATAATAATTTTTTAATAAATATATTTTGTAACATATTATATCAGAGTATATATTTATCAGTATCTAAAAAAA